ATAATGCATCGCTGGTCGATAAGTCTACTGGTAAATTGTTGTACAGTGTATTTTTTCAGTTATTTTCAATTATCAATGTCACCATTGAATGAGAAAATCAACGAATTGGTTTCAAACAGTCATATCAATATTTGTTTATCCTATAATATGATTTTTGAACCCCTCTTTTTCCCCTTGGGTTATAGATTCCTGATTCCCTTTTTTGATGCTTATTTACGCTATACAAAGAACCTACCTGCATATTTCAAGATTCTACGTTCAGTAGCTACGTCTTACGGCGTTGCGTGGCTCTTTTACGCCTAAACGAGTGAACGAAGTCAGATGAAAATTTACATAAATACAGCTTATACGTTAGAATAACAATAGGCTACAATTAACAAAGGTTTTGTATAATTTTGGTAATAATATAACAATACCACATAAGAGGAGATATGCTATCGCGGACTGTTATTTAGAACTATTTAAGATGAACAATCTTACGGTACATTATATTCATGTTACTCCAACGGTGTAGGCAGGGCACGCCAAGATAGCTCTCAGGGAGCAAGAATTTTTCCGACTTACTTAATACTTATCGTTATATTATGACCATTATAACACAAAACCTTTGTTAATTGTAGTCTATTGTTACTCTGATGTATACGCTGTATTTATGTAAATATTCATCTGAATTCGTTCAGTCGTTTAGGCGTTAAAGAGCCACAAACATACGCATACATCCATCCTCAGAAACTCTCATATTTATATTAGTATAGATACCACTGGTTATTGTGATTTTTGATATCATCATCAGATATTCAAAAAAAAGAGATCTTACCACTGTACGGACATAACACATGTAGATGTTAATATTGGATGAGAAATATTATTATTAAAGATAATCCTGACGGAGCCTTCTGTATATTTTTCATTGATGGCCTCATTGACATTTGGTTCGTGCTTCAAAACTTGACATTTAGTAATGAATAGAATCAGTGACCCTAACAACCCTCACTAAAAGTTTTCTGATGAGCACCCGACCTTTCAAGAGATTGGCCTTTCATATTGAGAGTGACCATGCGTTGAAAATTCCAAGACAATAATGAAACACCAGATACCTAAGATGTGATTACATCACATTCTTATTACAATAAAACTGCCCTAGTATTGGGAAAGCATTTTTTCACACAATGTCTTCATTTTGCTGATATGAATTTCAACATATGTTGAATGATGAAATAATTATGGGAAACAGAATTTCCATTTGAGCATTGAATATTTATTGTGCATCTATGTTTCACTGATCTAGTTTCCATTACTTATTTTGCAGCCACGCAGACACTCTCAGTCCCATTTGTGTAACAAATTGAAAGTCAAATTAAGAAACATCAAAGTCAAAGACCATTATGATAAGAATTATTTTTTTTCAATATCTCCAAATTTTTGAAAGAGAATGATAATTTATGATACACCATTGAAAAAGTAAAATCTGGTTCTATTCAAAACAGAAAGAATCCAATGTAGCACCCATATGAAAAAATAAAGTTGATGAATGTGGCCGGAAAACGAAACGTCGGTTAGCAAATCTGAAAACACCATTATGTAGCAGGGAAAAGTGCTATGGAAAATGCAATTTATTTTTTAATCCTTCGGAAAAATGCGCAACTTTGCCTCAATTTAAGCATCTTCGTATCTCTCATAGTTTCCGAGATCCCAATGGTGAGGATCGAATTTGAAACACTCTGTATATTAAATATTATTCCATAGGATATGAAACAATGGTAGTAAATTATAAGGAAATAATCAATTATTATACATATGACCCTTTTCACTCGATATCTATCATTAGGTAATTTCCGATGATGAACCAGTCTTTGTGTCAAATGCAAGACTCATAAAGAACTACCACTTACAAATCTTTTCAGATATAGAAAAGAAAGAAACGTGATTCACCATCACTAAGTAACAAGAAGATAAACTTTCATGTGCGAAAACGCTGATATATGAAAACTATTGACTTATCTGATAATCTGGCGATTTCTTCCGAAGGAAATAGCCCAGTAACTCACTTACTGAACTAACAGCCCTGAATGATGGGTAGAGAAAATCTCGTTACTGACTTTATCCATAAGTTGTAATTTTGTTGCTAGCCAAGTTGAAACGACATTGGACTTCGTTTCCGAAACGGTATTTTATTTGCATTTATACAAGTTTAGCCGAAGGCATTCTGGAAATATTCGAAGGGTTCAGAAATGGCACATAACTCATAAATAAGTGTTGAACCAACTCACCGAAAATCCGTTTGTTGAAAAATGCAATCTACCGCGAATGAAATGGCAAATACTGCCAATTGAAATCTTTGTACTGAAACTATTAACAGAAATTTGATCTGGGTTTTGAAGTTTCGAAGCAAATAGGAAATATTAAAAATATAAGTATCAAAAAACTAGGAGGGAACAAATCAAGTTTAAACGTTTTCAGCCGCCATTTTTTTGACGATTACAATTTTGCAAACAATTATGTAGAAAGTTCGAACACTTCCGTCACAAATTGGAATAATTATTATATCTACAATTTTCCCACAATAATCAATATGTTTGGTTCATTTTCATACTTTCTCAATTTTATTAATGGAGTATTTTAATAGAACATTTTATTTTTCAATGAATATCTTCAATCGTTCCAATCATGATATGACAACTAATCAGTTATCTGACAGCTTTCTTCAGTTAATCATTGACATAGTTTAATTTTCATGCATAATAATTTTCTAGCTTTCTCAACAAAAGTGTTAGTATAACTTCAGTGTTACAGGCAGTCGCTCTGAGAGACGCTTCCATTTATTTTGATTTCCATGTCTCATGGACACATTGACAGTTCACTTCGATATGTCCCTCATAATAAAAGTCTACAAAATGGTTTTTGAAAATTTCAAACAATTATTCTAATTTTTCCATCTTATTGTAGTTCTTGGAGATCAAATCGTAATGTGTTGTTTATGAAAATATAGGAAATATATAACAAATTATAGGTATTGTGAAAATAGCTAGTTTAGCATAGAAACAATAACAGATAACTAAAGGACCAAATATCCCCAATATAAATCGTTCACACCAACAGGTGTTTGTATTTCGTGGCTACAAAACAGAACATTTTTTCTACTGGTTCAATAGCGTTTCAAACAAACAGAAGTAATTATTAGTACACCTTTACTGAGATACATGGTTTCATCAGAACTGGAGAGTATATTAGGTGGTACCGTTCCAACCCTTTATCACAGGTAACATTAGCCATTAGCTCCAATTAATTTACATCGAAAAGTAGTCTAATAGTAAAACGTAGATGGTAGTAAAGTTGTGTTTAGTAAATGCTGAATTTTTTGCTACTCCTCCTGTGGAAAGTTTCTGTTATCAGTCAAAAAATTGGTTCGCAAATTTGAACGACGTGGTATTATTGTGCATACAGTTGTACCTATTGGGCTGTTTGATGGTTACTTTAATAAGTGTTTAAAAGTGTAAAAGTGGTTAACATTCTTCAAGACAGAAATGAAATGATTGTAAATTTATGGAGAAGTTGAAAAGTACGCACGAAAGGCGTCATGTAATTTCAACGAAAGACATCCAAATTGTAATGTAACTCACCGTTACGTGCTTGATTTGGTGAAATAGTTTTATGAAACTGGTTCAGTGACGAATTAAAAAAAAAAAAAATAACATCAGAGTCATAAATGAAGCAGCTCATATTGAATTTTTGGGAACATTTGTTGCACAAGCACACGAGCTCCTTACGATCAGTATCAAAACAGACGGGAATGTCACGGAAGACTGTGAAAAAAGCATTGAAAATGCATAAATTTCATCCTTATAAAGTGCAGATTCTTCAAGAGTTCCACGAGGATGATTTTGATAGAAGAATAGAGTTTTGTGAATTCATGTCTCGTCGAGTTGATACCACCCCTAATATACTGAATGACAATGTTAATAGACATAATTGACGCTATTGGAGTGACGAAAACCCACATATTTTTCGGGAAGAGCATACATAACACCCACAAAAAGTTAATTTTTGGGCAGGCATTTTTGGTAATGTCATTATTGGCCCATTATTTCTGAAAAAAAATTCGACTGGCAATCTGTACTTAAAAATGCTTGAAGAGACTATCGATCCTCTTATAACTCACGAGCTGGAAACTCAAATGGATGTAGAAGGTAACGATCTTTTGCATGAGGATCTGTTACATCTCCACGAGGACGGTGCTCCATCTTATTATTTTTATTCCGTCCGACAGTGGTTAAACGGGAGATTTCTGTATCGGCAGAAGGGGAGCAGTTGAATGGAATTCGAGATCACCGGATTTAACACCCTTAGATTTCTGTCTTAGGGAGCATCTTAAATCCATTGTTTATGAAACACAACCTTCTGAAATTGAAAAACTTAAAAAGAGATGAATTACACCAGCAAGCCAGTCGATTCCTACTGAAGTTAGAGGGGAGTTCGAAAACACACTTTATGACTGTTTAGAGCAAAATGTACGACATTTCAAACAGTTTATAAGATAAGCGTAAGTGGATTTTATGTTTGAAATGTCTATCTAGCAAATTAAATTTTATGTTGTAAAAGAACAATATCCAACAAAGAAAAAGTCCCCCGCGTAATACATTTATTCCTAACATTCAAGGGTTAGAACGATGCCTAACAATTTTTATTGAAATGGGTCAATACAATAATGCATCTCAGAACAGGCAAATTCCAATTACATGTGTAAGTTTAGAACAATATTTTTTGGAAAAAAAAATAAAACGTCACGACATCATTGGAAACAGAATTGAACGCCAATCAAAATGATGAGTCACTTGTCACCCCTTCCCATTTGAGATTCTAAGGATAGCATCAACCCCTCCTTGGGAGTTGAACCACGAGGGCTGTCAAAATCTACAAATATTCCTTGAAAGTGTCCATCTTGACTATAAAATTGACCTGTTTTTTTTCGATTCCTCATATTATTTCCTGAAAGTAATATATTGAGGGTGGACACCTTGTATATTTATTTTGATATACTGGAAAGACAGTGAACTTCGACAAATTTGAACTTCTTCGCATCTGTAATTCTATGAAAATTAGTTTTCAAATTCATTTTTTCCTGTTTCTCTCCATTACGTTGCTCCTAGTGCATCGGTTTCAAATTCAATGAATTATTTGATAACCTTGTTTTTGACGAACCACTTTCCACTGACTTACAACTTGGTGACAGATCTCCTGTCACTTCGTTCAGTTTCGAATAAAGGCCATGTATACCGTTCATCCTTTTGAAAACCATTTGTATTCTCTTATCTGAAAAAATAGTGTAGACAAAATTAAATTGCACTACGAATTAAGTGAAATAGTCTCACGTACTATCAAGTTCTTCATGGAGTTCGCATTTCCTATAATCTTCCAGAATTCATTCCAGCCTCTGTTTGTGATTTTGCGTTTGGGATTAAATTCCAGATTAAATTATCGGATTAGCAGAACAGTTCGCGAGTTATTCGACCGCCGCTTTAGCTGCAGTATGTTTACTGAGAATATTAAATTTTATGGTTAATTTGTATGCTGTGCGCTGTACATGAGTCGCACTCGTAGTTTACACTTAACTCTAATCTTGCAATGCAACTAATCAAATTTCTACTTTTATCGTAATGATAAATCATTCTACGAATACCGTGGAACTGCATAAAGGTTGCAAGCCTGCTATCTAAATTTACTGCTATGTACCGACTAATTGTTCTTTTGTTATATGTACGAGTAGTTACATGGTTTTACTCAATAATCACAGATCTTTGTTGAATGAATCGTAAGTGAACGAATTGGTGACGTAGGATGAATAGAGCATACATTTATGATTTATGAATCTATCAGATAGGTGCATAGTTATAGAGACCTGAAAACAATTAAAAGAACAACAATGAGGAACATGGAATAAAAATCAATAGTATTACTTGGACGGTAAAGTATGAATCATTTCTTCCTACACAGCCGTTTGGAATTTCATAATTGCGAACATTTTGATAAAATACTCAGACCGTTGAAGAGTTGAGCTGTGAAACATGAAAGTTGCCAAAGCTTTGCGGAAAAAACATTTTCATATGATATAATTTCCGAAGTTCATCTTCAAGGAAAAGCTACAAAAGTTTTACGATGATAGTACAATGTTATGAAATTACTACAAAAGGCACAACTTACTGTTGGTGACGATGGCCATATCGAAATAAATGTTACATTCAAACAATTGAAACATGTCAATACAATAAAACAAGTTACTATATTAAAAAAGATTGACTCCTCATTTATGTGAAGAATATTATTTGAATTCACTCAATAAAAATCGTTATGTTTTAAATTATACCTTACCGGTGAAAGTTATGTGGTTGAAGACCAAAGAGAGAGACAAAGAACAATATACACTGACAGCTGTCAAGTGATCAAGTTTAAAAAAGGTATGTTTGTTTGTCTATAGTGAAACTATGGAACAATGGAGAACAGTTTTGGTGCAAGTGTGATCAGAGTCACCTGCAGTTATATAAGCCTATCAATGTGAAATGCATCAACTTCAAATGTAACCTCGATCTTCACTATTCAAGAACTCTGTCATTTGGAGAACCGCGTTTATGTGGAATAAACTTCATAAAAACGTATTTCCAAATGGACTTAATCTCCAGCGATTCAAATCCAATATGAATCACTACTTTAGCACAAGTACCGCTCTTAGAGAGCCTATGGATTTTTCTGTAGTGCTTGTGTTTTGTTTTGTTGTGGAGAAACTTAGTAGAAAAGTTAGAAATATATTTTAATGTATTGAAAATTATACTAAATTATAATAATGAAATTTCTGAATTGTTACTGGTTTGAAAATCATGTAGATTTTTATTGATATCTAAAAGGAAGGCATACATTTTACTGAGATAATCTATGTCTGATCTTCTATTAAGGCAATTATTCGATTGTAATATAAATGATATTTCAATACCTGAGTTAAGGCATACATTATTTATGATTACTTTAGTTAACTTATGAACTAATTACCATTCCAAACATTGATAAACAAGTTTGATGAACAAAAAAAAAATGATTCGAATGAACGTGTTACACAATAAAATTACCTGATTTTTCGAGTACGAGGGAATAACTTGAATTAATTCGGCTAGGTATTTAGTAAATATTTCGAATTTATTGATTCATCTTTTAACACATTATAGACGTGATTGAACTCAGACCCCTATGCCGATTGAAGGTTTGCATATGTGGAGTTGTTAAAATTATCTAAAAGAACAATTCGTTCAGGCTAGTACCAACTCCCCACACTGTAGGTTAATGGAATGAAACCTATTAGAAAACAATTGCTAATACCGCGAAGTGCATTGGATTATATCTGATTATTCACAGAAAAAAATTCTGCATATGGTGTTGGTAATACAACCGCCGGAATCGATTTTTGAATATTGGAACAGGAATACTTGCAGACCGGATTTGGGCTATTTGGCTTCTCATTACTGCAGGGTAGTGTTCATTAATAAGATGAAGTCGGTGATTTCCCATAATCAAAAATCGAATTCATTTCAGAGTATCATTCCTCGAATAAGGCTGAAGCGAACGACAATAAGTGCCATTACCTTCTGTCAAAGACAATAATTATTATTCATATCGATGTTACAAAATTAATTCACAATGATTGATTGGCACGCAGAAAGGAGACTATCATTAGGTACAACCTCACATGTGAACCGAAGTTATTGATAAATATATGTTCCCTACCTCCAGGAACAGTTACGATCATACCAACTCTATAGGTTTATTCAGAGTTGACATTTCCAGATTTCCATTCTTTCAATGTTCAACTCTCAATGCTCATTTGAATTGTCTTGATTGGTGTATTCAGTGTTTCGAAATTGTCATATCACACATTAAGTTCCTTACCACTGATGTTAAACAAGTGCAACCTATAACAATTGATATACAGCCATCTGCTCCTCACTTCTCACACCATCTCCGATGACATTGTGAATAATTGAATCCCGTGCCGAATGAATTCGATCACCACAACGACAAAAAAGAAAACGAAACAAAAGATTCGTACCCATTCATCCAAGTGCCGCATTCGCGCTGAATAGGTTCAAAGTGGTATTGAGCTCAAAAATTAAAAAGACATTTTCACACTTAAAACAAATGGCTATGCAGATTACAAAAAGTTTCGGAAACCCCAACTATAAGGGAAGGTGTGAAACAGGGACGGAAGTGAGATCTGGAGTGCTTTGAAGTGACGCAGTTGTTGAGCCAACATGTCGACGTTCAGGTGTGAGAAGGCCTTTGAAACGTGGTGAATAGGAAATGGGTCACTGCCAAAAGCAATTTTCAATAACAGCTGGAAGGGTTATCAAGATTGCCATGATTAGTAGGCGAGAAAAATTAATTTGTAGGAAGAATTTTGATGTGGTCACTTTTTGTTACAAAACACATTATTGAGAGCAACCGTCAACAAGCAGGTCCAACGATGAAAGATTAAACGAGAGAGGGGTGAACTTATTAATACTTTTCATAATTATCTATAAAAAACCTAACGAAAAAACAGATAGGTTCTCACATTTATAGAATCAGTATGTATGATATTGAGAATACAAAGACGTGAATTTTGCCTTTACGTTTCATTAATTCATCTATTCAAAAATCACAATGAGTTTACGTGATTTTCAAAGATATATTAGGACGACTATTCAGAAATGTTTGCATTCATGTTTTCTTTAGAATACCTGAACGATATTATTTTTTTCTGGTGGGAAATTATTGATTGATCAAAAAGAATCTGCTCAAAATCTGTTTCTGTTTCAACCAGCTGTCATCCCCTCACGACGGAAAACTCTAGGAAGGCTAAACTCATGCGGGCTAACGATAACGAAGTTTTATCATTTAACGTTTAACCAAGAAGTAATGAAAACAACTAATCACTATATTCCCACAGATCAACTGGCTATTTGTTCTTATGTCTGGCGGTAGAAAACATATCAAAGTTTCGATGTAGAAGAAAGTAATTTTGAGTATTTTCAATCTGGGGTTCTGCTACTGAAGTATCTTTATTGGAATGTTTTTCACGATATTGTGAACTAAATCATTACTAGTTTCTCTCTTCTGTTGATTCGTGAAATATTTTATTGATTTGTTTCAAGGGGTTAATTTTCGGAAAATTTCATCCAAATTAACTACTTTCAGTAATTATTCAGAATGATGGAAAAGGAAGTTTTTGGCCTACAACTTCTCCATATTGATACAAAAATGTGTGAATCTTCCAAAGAAAGGAAGGAAGCGATCAATTTTATGGAATTAACTCTATACAAAGATGTGTAGATGGAAGATTCCCACATTTTTTCAATCAAGATGGAAAAGTAGAAGGTCAAAACTTTTATTCCCCAAAAATTTTTTTTTCCTGAAAAAATACCCTTCCAATTCAAAAATGATATTCACTCATTTTCAACTCCACTTTGATACACGTTTAGTCCTGCCACTGATCCATCACGCTCTGAGTACAAAGAAGATTTCTGATATGTTACAGAAACTTCTCAAGATTACCTCATTTATTGCAAAACCAAGCCAATTCCGGTGTTCAAGTGCTACGCAAGACGCTGATGGATGTTTTTTCAGAAAACATCCTGCCTACAAATCTGGTAAGCCTGTTAAAAGAAAATCTGTTTTAAAATATGTTTTTATGTTAATCAGCTGTCGCCCCCATACGAACGACAACTCTCAGAAGTTGAGAAACTTGTGTGAGCTAAGGACTAACGAGGTCCTATCTTTTAAACCTAACACAGGTAACATTATCTGGTGTTCAATTATCAATGTTGAATTACACGAAAATAACTTTTTCTCACTCCGTTTGCACTTAAAATATTCCTAATAGAATTGAAATTCATATGAATCATGGCAATGCTGCACGAAGGCGAGTTGGTTGTCCTGGTTCATCTTTCAATGTCTGAACCACTGTGCATGCTGTTTTTGGCGAGTGCATTGGCTTGGGATGTGGGGTTGAGCAAACCGGCCATCGGATGCCTACTTCCACGTAGGATACGGGATTGACAGAATCACTTGTGGTTCTGTTATTCCCTAACTGAATGACATCCCAACGATGGCTTGATCCTAAGGTGTGAGTATCCGTGCCGAGAGGATGAATGACACTGAGCCTATCAGCTGTCTCAACGGAACTTTCGAGATACCGAGCGACCTCTCGTAGTAGCATCGCCTTGTCACAGTAATGCGGGGCTCTGCCGTGATTGACCTTTTTTCCCTAGCTACTCTTAAGACTTGGATGGACAGACGCTGAGTCTACAGAGGAGATGGGTGTCGAGATTACGACTCCAAATGACCTCCTTGTAAATTTAGAACAGGAGCGAGTCTACAGAGGAGAAGGATGTCGAGCTCACGACTCCAACTATGACCTCCTTGTAAATTTAGAACAGGAGCGAGTCTACAGAGGAGAAGGATGTCGAGCTCACGACTCCAACTGTCTTTCCTGTAAATTAAGATCAGGAGCGAGAGCTTCTCCAATGACTGAACCTAAAAAAAAGGTTTGGTGGTGCCGC